ATTGTTCTTGGATAACTACTTCCCTAGGGAGGCTAAGGAACAGAAACAATGAGTATAATGATCTAAAGCAAGGGTCGATGACAATTGACCAATATTTCGCCAAGTTCAATGAATTGGTGAAATATGCTAATTATGGGAGAGCCTTACCCACTCCGGCCAAGATGACCTCTAAATTTCAATGGGGTCTGAATGAGAAGATGTCTCGGAAGATGTCAAATTGTGATATCCGTGAGTTTAGCAAATTCGTGAACCAATGCCGGAAGGTGGAAGAAGTTTATGGTGTGCCGAAAAGTAAGAAGTCTTCCGAGGCACAAGCATCAGGTGCTAGTGGAGCAACTGGCTCTACTTCAGAAAAGGGTAAGAAGATGGATGATAGGAATATCAAAGAAAAATTGCAAGTTAGACAGTCTGAAGAAAAGTTTAAAAGAAGCGGGAGTCAACAGAGTTGGGACAGTGAAAGACCTATTGTGCCAAAGTGTGACAATTGTGGCAGGCATCACAAGGGTGTTTGTTTGATGGGTCAAAACGTATGTTTCAAGTGTGCTAGACCTGGTCACTATGCGAGGGATTGTCCCCAGATTGTGGGATGGGTTGCTCATGTGCAAGTGGTCTATGACCCTTCAGCAGCGGCACATGTTAGCACTTCGACCCAACCCCAGCTAGAGAGGTTCCCACACTTGACGGGAGGTATGACGCATGTAGATTAATATGACATGCATAGTTTATTGAGGTTGGAGCCACACATGCTTAGACTATGGACTCAACTATGATTATGTGATTCGTTATGTCTAGTAATTAAAGACTAGACTATGTATTGATTGCTAAAAGATGGTAAGTTGTATGCAATGATCTTTCCATGGATGTAGTGGTAGTATTACCTCCATGAGGATAGTATCCTATGAGATAGAGAATTCTCATTAAAGGTATAGATTGAGGGGAACTTCCCTTGGAGTTAGCCTTCGGGACCTCCTTGTGGTCAGATACCTAAGAGAAACAGCCCATAGCGGATCTCTCTTGGAAGTTCCATCAGATGAGATTTTATTTATGAGGTTATTAGTAGGACCACAAAAGGTCAGGGTTAAATATCAATTGAATAGGTATGACCCTTGAGGAAAATGAAAGATAAAAGTGCTGGAACATATTAGTATCACCTAATTATAAAACATAGATTGAATCATGAATGAAACATTTCATCTTATGATAAGATGATGAGGAAAAGAGGAACTGATTAATAGGGTAACTTCGGGAACACAAGAAGAGTTCTCCGATAAATCCATAGATGATTGAATGAGTGGTTTTGTCGATTTTGAGGACAAAATCGTTAAAAAGGTGGGGTGAATATAATACCCCAAACTTAAGCATTTAATTGATTAATTTTAATTAAATAATTAAGCATGTTTTAGTGAGTAAAATTAAATATAAGGCTTAATTAAATGAATCTGAGTCACTTGGAGTTAAAAAGTGTACTCAGTGAAAATTAAGGGGTATAAATGGGTGTAGACAAAAGTACCCAAAATATAAAAATAAAAATAGTAATATTCCTAGAATAATATTCCAGACTTTTGGGTAAAGTTTGGTAATTAATGGAGTTGAATAGATAGACGAACCAATACCCGCTTAAAGTCACTTAACATAAGTTAAGTGACCAATGCAACAAAAGAAACCCAATTGTCCCTCCCCAACCCGTCGTGCAGAAGAGAGGAAAAGAAGAGAAGAAGGAGAAGAGGGGGAAAAGGAAGAGGAAAGGAGAGGGAGAACCCTAGGTGGAGCAATCCTCAACCAAATCCATTCGTTCAAAAGCCTAAACCACTCTAAATCTTCTCCTCTTTCATAATTCAAGCTTAGTTTTGAGTGGGGAGCATTGTGGAGAGGGATATTGCCCCTCAAAAATTCAGCCCTTTGTGAGATTTTGGGGTTTTGGGAGCTTCAACCTCCATTGAAGCTTGAGGAGCCATCAATCCTTGGTTGTGTGACCATTGGTGGTAAGATTCTAACCGTTGAACCTTGTTTTCTTGGAAAATTTCATGGTTAGGGTTTAATGAATAGTGTTTTAGGGTTTTTATGAAATGTTGAGTAGATTGGTTATGTTCAAGGAAGAATGAGGCTTAGAGTATGTTGTGAAAAATGCTAGGAATAACATTTAATCGGTAGAAATGAGTTTATAGTGTTATTTTAGTATGCTTTGATGTTTGGATAAATCTAGGCTTGGAAATATGGATTTCCTTGCATTGTTAGCATTGTTTGATTGTATTCCTTGTGTTGATAGGATTGAGGCAAGAGGACCAAGTGGAGTGACCAACCCTTGGGGTTGTGTGCCATTGAGGAAAGCTCAAGAGCAAGGTAAACCTTTGGACCTTGGGGTTGATCCCATTGAGTGTTCCACCATACTCCATGGAGGAGAAATGGTTTATGAGATGTGATATGTAATTATGATTGTGATTGTATGCCCATGCATTGATTCATGCATTGATACATGTTATGATTGATTGATGATTATTGGTTGATGTTTGATTGTTTAAGAGTAATTGAGGAATGGTTATAGAAGTAGCAATAATGAATGAGGTAATGGTTGAGGATTGTGATTGAGGTTATGAGTGATAGTATTATGATGAGGATGATTGGTAGGAACTTCCCTTGGAAACAGCCCTATGTGGATCTCCATGTGGTTAGAGCCTAAGAGGAACAACCCTATGTGGATCCCTCTTGGAGGTTCCTAGATTGAGGAAAGGACTTCCCTTGGAAACAGCCCTATGTGGATCTCCATGTGGTAAGAGCCTAAGAGAAACATCCCTTAGTGGATCTCTCTTGGAAGTCCATGTGATGCTTGTTGATAAGAATGTGTTAATCTATTAAGATTATGTGTACATCGAAAGTGAACCTTAGGGTGGAGTGATCTCCAAGGACCTCTGGTTTACTGTGATATATTCGTATATCTCACCCCGTGTTATGGGGACCCCCTTTCAGGTAAGGAAGCTGCAGGAGCCTCTGATGGCAAGTGGCCTTCTTTGCAGTAGATCATGCATGAAGAAAATGATGTTTTGAGATCATACATGTTATTTTGTAGATTTACATGTATAGGATTGATCATTGATAGCATTGACGTATGTATATCTCGTTATATTTGATGGACTTAGCCTATGATCATGCCATTGGATATCTCTTTTGTTGATGAGAGCCAAGGGATGGTCATAGCCTTTTGTAGCTAAGTTCCCCGTTATGTAATTAAACTTGTGTAATGTTATTTACTTCAAGGTTATGAATGCATGATGAATTTTGGAAATGTTGAGCTGAATTGTCTATTAGGAGCTAAGCTGTTAGATTGGGAAACGTTGAGAAAACAAAGGTTATGCTGCCCAATTTCCGTTAAATCAATGATGAGAGGATGAGAGTTAAGCAATGATATAGGGATATCGCAAGCTTGTTAAATAGGTTGTAAAATGTGTAGGATTGATTCCCCAAGAAAGATACATGAAAAATATGAGTATAGGAAATTGCCCAGAAGAGGTGGCTTAAGCCTGCAAATGGAGGTTTAAGCCTGCTCAGGGGGCTTAAGCGCCCTGATGCACCTGTGAAGACCAAATGCTTTCTGCCGCCTGGGGCTTTAGCGCGCAAAATGGGGGCTTAAGCGCCCAGGTAGCGCGCTTAAGCACCCTGGATCGAGCTTAAGCGCCCTTGGTGGCCAAAAAATGTGAATTCCCTCTGTCTGTGGGCGCTTAAGCGCCCTGGAGCGCGCTTAAGCGCCCTGCCCGCGTAGTTTTTCAGCATACACCTGAGTTAGCAAAATTGTCATAACTTGAGCTACAGAGCTCCAAATGAGGAGCGGTTTGAAACCACGCGTAGCTAACGAAGAGATCTACAATATAGTAGAAGTTGGGAAATAAATAAGAAGTAAATTAATGGTTTAAAAATGGAATAAGAACATGATGTTAAGCCTGGTTTATCTGATTCCGCAAAGTAATATGGTTATGATCACACAATTGGGCATTATAAATTCGGCATGTTTTAAAATGAAAAATTTAACCGGATTTTAATTGAACCCATGTGATTGTAACTGCGCTTAATATCATATTGCGATGTTAACAAACCGGTTCTAGAACGGAGCGTTACAATCTTAGTTGCCACAGTGCTTGCTTGTGAGATTATATTGTTTAAAAACCAAAACATGATGGGAATTTTTTAAATGTCAAGTCAAGATGTTAGAAACAAGTTGGAGTCCAAGTTGTTTAAGGTAAACTATATCGCATATACGGGATGAAGAGAGAGAGAGAGAGAGGTCAAACATATGTTGAATATACAAGAGTGGTTATGCTTATTACTTGTTTTGTTTTAACCGAACAATTTTCATTTCTCCAGATATTATAAAATAAGAATAATGGATAGTTTCTAATTGGTTTAGGACATGTAAGAATTGTGATAAAGATTGGGCTATGATGGCGTTTACACCTTCATGTAAAGGATTCCTTTAAGCCCTTGCTTCCTTGGAAGGCAAGGAGGGTCGTTTCGGTTTGGCCCAATCTGATCTCTTAGTCAATTATTATGTGGATTCCTCATTCGGTCTGTAGTTCCTTTAAATTCTTATATTAGATTCTTTGTTGGGCATAAAAAGGGAACTTGTAAGGTTCTCACTAGGCTATATTTGGGAGGCTGAAGCAAGATGATGACTTATTCATTAAGCGGAGTGATTCTACCAAAACAGGTCATTCTAGAATCCTTAAACATAAAAATCCAATGGGTAGCTCCTCTTGCTGGAATTGGGTTTAGAACTGTGTTCCACTGAAAAGGTGATTTTTTATGGTTGGCGTTGCACAAGTATCGGTTTATCAAATGGCTGCTGGTCTCGAACATTTGCTTCGGACTAGCTACGGCATGGGATTATGGCGTTTGATACTTTCTTAGTGTGAAACTGATTTACCTTGCCGTTTTAAAGATTGCTTCTGATGCCAAAAGTTCAGCTTAACCACCATAGCACTATCATCCAAGCCATGCCAACCACTTGACGACTAACAATCCTCAATACAAATTATGATATAAATCAATATTTCTAACATTTGTTAAGTGTTAAATGTAGAATTGGAATAGTTTTCAAAATTCTATTTTTACATGACAAAATGTACAGATATTTATAATCCCCCATAAGATAGCTGAAACTTCGCAGAGCAAACAATTTCAACATGGTTCCCGGTGCATCAATGAAACTTTGGCAGCAAGGGTAGGTAGTCCCATGCAAGGGATGTTCCCCCACGTGTTGCCATAAAGTACCTACCTCTGATGAGTCACTCTTGCCAGCCAGCTGCCATCCCCTCTGCATTAACCATCTTCGATACCAGCAAATAACTTCACAAACCGATCATTTCTCTTCATCCTCGGAATCTGACTTTGCAAAAACTGGCTCAGGTTGGGTTTCAGCATATGCTGGAGCAATGAACTTCGGATCCTTTGCTGCAACATCAGCATATTTCAGGATAGCTTCCCTTGGATCTTCCTCCATCCATGTCTCCTTAATCATACCCCCTTGCTGCAATTACAAGAAAATGTAAGTACCTTCCACAGTCGTATTCTAAATCATGAAAACTAGGTAGTCAAGAAAAATGATAAGAAATAAACGCACACAAAACAATACCTTTAGAAGATACTGGGTCAGTAAGCTTCCTTGAGTTGTACCAACTCGTCCACCAAAGCCAGGTCCTGTCATGGGAAGTTCAGGCTTATGGGACTTCATTGGATCCTTTAGTATTTTCTCTCGCTGACGCTTGCGGCTTGGCTGATCTCTAAATAGCGGTAAAGCGTGAGGATTGTGAATTACAGGTTTCGCCTCAAAGTCATCAATTGATTTTTTCCTTGGCGCACGTGCAACACAAACAAGAGCTCCTCTCTCACTGAGGGTTGGATCGTATAGTATGTGAGTCCCTCCTTGGCTTTTATCACCAACAGTCGCAAAGATCTTTACAAAGAAAAAGAAGTTCAAGAAGAATTATAAGCATAAGCAACAAATCCTGTTTTAGAGAATGTAAGATGACACTAGAAAATTGTTTAAGAGCAACATAACTCTGATATTATGTTACCTGATTCAGTTTAGGATGCCAAGAACACTGAACAACACTACAAGTGGGGGATATGCCAACTTTTGAAACAAGCTCAAGGTTTACTCTATCAAAGAAGCACAATAAACCTCCAGTTGAGCTCTCCCTTTCTAAAGATGTTCCAGTCAAAAAGAGTTGCTCATCGGGACTGAAGGCAATATTTGTTTGTCCATAGTTATTTGGTAGATCCTCAAACACCTTTAATGCTTCTTTTGCTTTGCGCAGATCCCAAACCTGAGACATAATTCATTGGTCAATCAGGAGAATTCCGGAAGATTAGATAAGTGTAAACGAATGCCTAATAAAGAAAGCAAACAACAACAAACCACCACATATGATCTAAAAAATGAGATCATTTATTTACCTTCAATGAACCGTCAAAACTTCTTGACAATAAGATTCTCCCATCACTAGAAAATTTCAGACCAGTAATATCTTCCTCGTGACCTTTTTCAATATGTACATCTGGCCTACTCCCCCATCCGGGCTTAATACTCCAAATCTGCGAAGATTAATTGACCATTCCAAGCAATGTCAGGAGAAAGATAATATTATTCCAAGCTTATAAGCAGCATACAGATATTGACTTTATTACCCAATAAAGTCAGTGAAAAAGATAACTACCTGTATAGAACCATCTCCTATACCACCAGCAATGCATTTACCATCACGATCCCATGCACAAGTGGTGACAGGAACTCTTCCAGGTCTCGCAAGCTTTGGTTTAATGACCTATCCATTGAATGATAGCAGGATAACTTCAGTAACATCAGAAAAGTGTAAAGTATGAATTATAGCATAAACTATCACGACTTCATCAAGAGATAATAAAACCTTCCATACATGTGAAATCTAAATACACAGGTGCATATCCTTTCAGTATCATTAAGTGGAAAAAGGACACTTTTCGTAGAATAGGAGAAATTCCAAGTCTTGCTATCATTACATTAATCATCAATTTTTATTCCATGCATGTAAGAACCCAAACAAATGCATATTCTTTAAGTGTTATTGAGCAGATAACAGCTTCTGGTGAAATTCGAAGTCTCATAATAATAACCAATAGGAAAAGAGTAATTTATCAAAACTTAGTACATAGTCATAAATTAACCAATAATTTTTTTCTTTTCCATGAAGTAATAAACCTAATTAAAAAGAAGACAATGCCAGTAACTTTCTCACAACCTTCAGCGAATAATTATACAAGTAATGTCTGAAGTAAGAGATGCCTTCAGGCACTTTCCTCTGAAAATCTTAAAATTTTATTTTTATTTTTAAAAAAAAATCCAAGTATCACGAAATACTAATAAACACGAATTTCACAAAGTTTCTGTTCCCCAAATTAAAGATTGTAAACAAAAAGAAAATCACAATGTGCACGGAACCACTCAAAGAGAAAACATTTTGCAAACCTGCTTCTGGGTTTTGAAGTCATTGACATCCCAAATTCGTAGCGACCCATCCTCTGACGATGTTAAAATGGTCTCTTTAGTTTTGGGATGCCACTCTCCACATGTCAATCCAGATATGTGACCCTTCGTGTTCTTAAGGTCACGAATATACATATCTCCCTTCACAAACTCTCCCAAAGTAAGGCCATCACGATCATAAATCTTTGCTTGAGCTGAACCAGTGACGCACAAGAATCGATCCGCGGTTGGACTCCAACTTATAGTTCGAACTTGATGACCCTCAAATGGCTCCAGTTGTCGAAACGATTGCAAACGAGAATTCATTCCTTGAAAATCATACATCCGCAAAGTATAGTCATAACTTCCAGATAGTACCCTAGATCCAGTGTGATCCACCGCAACAGCTGACACAACCTGTTAATACTTCTAATTAATCTCCCAAATTATTTTTTTGTTTAATTTAATTAATTTCCAAAATTAAGCGACAGAGAGAGAAGCGATACCTTGGTGTGGCCCTTGAGCACAATCTCGTTGCTGAGCGGAATACGGAACCGGTTACCCACCTCTTCATGATCCGATTCGTATTCGGAGTCCGACCCGGACAAATTGGAACCGGGAGGTGGCGGGGGCGGGCCAATCATCTCGTCCTCGTCCTCGTCGTCCTCTTCATCCACCACTTGCGGCGGTGGATCGGCGGAGGAAGGAGGGGTAGGGTTTTTGGAGGGACGGATGGAATTGAGCCATTCCTTGGAAGAGGAAGAGAGAGAAGGAAGATCATTATTGACATTGGTAGCTTTTGAATTGGAATTGGAACGACGAGTAGCGTTGTGGATAGCTTCGAGAGAGGTTTGCGACTTCGATTGCTTTCCGAACGAAAGAGGAAATTGAGCCCTAACACCTTCGTATATATCACCCTCTTCCTCCATTCTTACACACGATGTAGCAATCACTTGATTTTATTTGGAACGTGATTTACATATACTACATGGATAAGTGTTTATTCAGTAATTTTTTTTTGGAAAAATATTTGTGATTTTAAATAACAGAAATTATGTCATTTTAAGAGAGGTACATATAGAAAATTTAAATTTTAAATTAAAAAAAGTCACTAACTTTTTCTCTCCCACTATTTCTATTTTGCTATGTCTATCTCTCTCTTAAAATGACATAATTTATGTTATTTAAAATGACTAACACTAACTTTTTTTTATTACTAATTTTTGGTTCTCCATAAAAACTAGACCGTATTTTATTTTATTTTTTAAAAATTTACTTATGAATTATGATCTTTTTGAAATTTAAAATAAATCCAATGAGTCAAAATTGTGATCCACTGATATTCAAAAATTTCAAAGATTAAATTGGTCCTGTAATTTTATTGAGAAACTATAGGCTACTTTAATTTTTTTTTTTCAAAATCCCAAAATAATGTTATTTTAAAATTGCAGGAAATTCGGATAAACCCTAAATCTATATTGTATTATAGTTTATTAGAATTAGAATATTCTTACTATCAATTTTTTTACTACCACTTTAATCACCGTTGGATCACAGGAAAAGTTGAATGAAGAGAGAGAAAAGAAAAATAACTTTTGAATCTAATGATAATTAAAATAGTAGTGGAGTGATAATAGAAAAAATTGGTAATAAAAATATCTTCAATCAATTTATTATACTTGTTCGTTTCTATGCTCTTTCCGGTCTATTCGGACCGGATCACGTTTCTTCATTCGATGTTTACTCATTCGCCTCATAACCTCTATCAGCCCAATTGAGTTACAAGTTTATTTTAATTCATTAAATTTTTAATCACAATGTAACTTAAATTAACTATCGATTTATTATCTCATTTCGTACAATTTTTTATTTATAAAACAAGGATATTTTTAATTTATTTTTCGTGACTAAATTCTTCTTTTAAACAATGTTAAAAATACACCTCTCACGTTGACCTAATATGTTTAAAAGAGTTCATGATTACTTTAACTCATAGCCAAAATATTATTGTGATATAATATTATATTAAAAAACACCATTTCACTTATATTTAAAAATAAAAATAAAAACCCAGTTTTTGTAATAAAGCTCCTTCCTCAAAAGAGAAGCTCAATTTCTTTGTATCCCTTTATGTTTATATTTTTCTTTCTTTTCTATTCATTATGCTCCATTTTCCCTAAACTTTAATCATCTAATTGAAAATTTGGTGAACTTTTAAAACTCTATCCATTCATTTCAGCTTATAAATGGGTTTTGGAATAGTTTTCTGGTGTTAGAAATTATGCTTCGAGGAGAAGGAAGACATTGCTCACTCCTTAAAATTGATTTATTTGACTCTTTAGGATAAATTTATTACTCAACAAATTGAAAAATTAATTTAATTAGAACTTTTTTTTTAAGAGAATGTCAAAATAAGTAAATGGAGAAATAATATTATGATTTCATTGATTGAGACCTTTCCTAAGGTCCATATTTATACAAGTAAAAACAACTAGAGTTTGTTGTTAACAGTATCACTAAAAATAATGAAACAACCTATACATTCTATTTATCTTTTCCTATACATTTGGAATCCTAGAAAACAACTTGTAAACAGAAATATGAATTTTGAATCTTCAGTCCAACACTCCCCCTCAAGTTGATGTATGTGTGTTTACCATACCCAACTTGTTGATTGTAGCCTCAAACACTTTTCCAGATACTGCCTTTGTTAAAATATCAGCCAACTGGTCTTCAGATTTCACATATGGAACATGGATAATTTTCTGATCCAGTTTTTCTTTAATAAAATGCCTGTCAACTTCAACATGTTTTGTTCTATCGTGCTGGACCGGGTTGTGAGCAATTTCTATAGCCGCTTTATTGTCACAATATAAGATCATTGGTTGATCATAACTGATACCCAGATCTTTTAATACATTCTTAACCCATAACAATTCACAAAACGCCATGTGCCATTCCTCGGAACTCAGCTTCTGCACTAGACTTGGCTACTACCTTTTGTTTCTTGCTTCTACAAGTCACCAAGTTTCCTTCAACAAATGTGAAGTACCCAGATGTCGACTGCCTGGTAGTTCTGTCTCCTGCCCAATCAGAGTCAGTGTACCCCTCAATTAATTGATTTTTTCCTTTTGAAAACAGCAATCCTCTTTCAGGTGACCCTTTGAGATACCTTAGTATTCTGAACACAGCATCCATATGGTCTTCACTAGGAGCATGCATGAACCTACTCACCACACTTACTGCGTAAGCTATGTCAGGCCTTGTATGTGAGAGATAAATAAGCTTACCTACCAATCTTTGATAGCGGTTAGCATCTGTTCCTTCTTGATCTGGGTACACTCCCAAAGTGTGATTCATCTCTATTGGTGTATCTGCTGGTTTACAAGCTAACATACCAGTTTCAGTTAGTAGATCTAGGATATATTTTTTCTGTGATAAAAAAATCCCTTGGTTTGATCTTGAAATCTCAATTCCAAGGAAATATTTAAGATTTCCCAAATCTTTCATTTCGAATTCTCTGGCCAGATATTGCTCCAACAATTTTACTTCATCTGGATCATCCCCTATTACAACCATGTCATCAACATAAACTATTAAAATGGTTATTTTCCCTTCTTTGTTTTTGGTGAACATAGTGTGATCAGAGTTGCTTTGTGTGTACCCAAAATTCTTTATAGCCAGAGTAAATCTTCCAAACCACGCCCTTGGTGATTGTTTAAGTCCATATAGTGCCTTTTTTAACTTGCAAACCTTGGTCTCTTCAGTCATACTTCTCTTGACTCCTGGTGGTATATCCATGTACACTTCTTCTTCCAAATCTCCATTTAAAAATGCATTTTTTACATCAAATTGCTTCAATGGCCAGTCACGGTTGGCTGCAATGGAGATTAAGATTCGAATTGTATTCAATTTTGCTACGGGGGCAAATGTCTCTTGGTAATCAACTCCATATCTCTGGGTATAACCCTTGGCAACCAGACGAGCTTTGTACCTATCAATGTTTCCATCTGCCTTCATTTTTACGGTAAACACCCATTTGCACCCAATGGTCTTCTTTCCATGTGGTAGGTCTACTAGTTCCCACGTACAATTCTTTTGTAATGCCTCCATTTCAGTATTCATTGCTTCTTTCCATTTCTGATTTTTCAAGGCCTCCTGCACATAATTTGGAATAGAAATACTGGACAAGAGATCAGTGGTCAATGCACATGGTTCGAGTGTTTTTTGACTGGATACATAGTTATTTATGGGATACTTGACTTTAGACTTAGGATCAGGTTCATAGGATACTTTGGGTATGCCTTTTGTGCTTCTTTGGGACTGCCTTATAGATGGATTAGAAGAATCAGATGGAGAGGTATTATTTAAAATTATAGAGTTAGGATTAAGGCTTACCTCTGAGGTTTGATCTGTTTGTAAGTCAGAGATATTCTCGAATGATGCTTCAACTATAGGTGTTAGTGTGGCAGTTGTGTCCGATTGCAGTAGGGAATCCGAACTCGATGCAGGATCAGAACTGGTGTCTGGTGCTGGAATTGTGTCTTGTATGGGAGGTACAAGTGGAGTGTATGTCCAATGCTGCTCTGCTTCTCCAGAATTGCCAGAGTAAGGCTCCCCCTGAGAAGAAGAGGTAGAGGCTCCCCCTGAGTAGTAAGGGTCACTTTCCCAAAATGATGCTTCCAATGTCACATGTAGCTTATGAAGGAGAGGATCAAAGCAACGATACCCTTTTTGTGAGTCCGAGTAGCCAACAAAGAGACCCTTCATAGCACAAGGTTCCAGTTTGTTTCTCAATACCCGTGGAATGTGAACATAAACAACACACCCGAACACTCTGGGTTCGAGATTGGGAGTACGAGGCATAGAGAAGAAGGAGTGGAGTTTTTGGTGAGGGGTACTAAAGTTAAGGACACTGGATGGTGTCCTATTGATGAGATAGGCAGCCGAAGTGACTGCCTCTCCCCAATATTGTTTGGGTACGTTCATATCAAAGAGAGAAGCTCTTACTACCTCCATGAGTTGTCTATTTTTGCGCTCAGCCAAACCATTTTGCTGAGGGGTGTAAGGACAAGAAGTATAGTGTTTAATTCCATTTGTCTGAAAGAAAGAAGTAAAGGAACCATTAACATATTCAGTCCCATTATCGGTTTGAAGGGTTTGAACTGAAGTCTTATATTGATTCTGGACCATATTAAAGAAGGTTTTAAAAGCAGAGAAGGCCTCATTCTTATGTTTTAACAGGACTACCCATGTCATTCGACTGCATTCATCAATGAAGGTTATATAATAAAGAGCTTTAGACAAAGATGGGACCTTGGCAGGTCCCCATATATCAGAATGTACCACTTGAAAAGGAATGCTACTTTTATTCAAACTGGGAAAAAAAGGGATACGATGGCTTTTAGCCAATTCACAAACATTACATTGGAAAATATCTTTATTGGAAGATGTAAACAAAGCAGGAAACAATTTCTGAAGGTAGCCAAAGAAGAGGTGGCCTAACCGCCTATGCCACAGCCAAATGGAGTCTGCAGTCTTGTGTGAAGTATTGGTGGTAGAAGCTCGCGCCAATTGGGGAGTGCTATCCGTAGGAGATTCAAACATGTACAACTTGCCACGCCTAACACCATAGCCAAGTATCTTCCGAGTTGGGATATCCTGAAATACACAGTAGGTGGGCCAGAATGTAACAGTACAATTCAAAGCAGTAGTTAGTTGACTCACAGATAACAAATTAAATTCAAGGGAAGAAACAAGAAGAACAGAGGAAAGAGAGAGGTGATCAGATAGGGTAGTGGAACCTTCACCAGTAATAGGAGCAGTTCCACCATTAGCGGTTGAGATGGCTGATTGGGAGGATGGGCCAACATGTGTGAGGGCAGTGGGGTCTCGAACCATATGATCGGAGGCCCCTGTATCAATGATCCAGTT